AAATTTGAAAAAATAGAAATAAATTCTTCTGCTGTTTATAATTAGATTATTTCTACATTAAAATAATTTTAAATAAACTATTATTTGTAAAGTTACTGCGCATGCGCAGTAAAAAAGTAGGCGGAGCAAAATTTCAAAAATACCACAAAATAATACTCACCGTAACTTTTTCTTCAAAAATTCTTCCTGATAATCAATCCAATATAATCGACGCACAATTATTTAATAAATATTTTAATTTTTTATATTTTAAACAATAGTTATCGTTATCATGTTATTATGATAATATACTTGAATATTTAATGCGTATTTAGAATTAAATATTAAAAGTTAGAATTTACGGCGAATAATCTGCCCTCCTGGAAATATGATGCTCGTTGAGGACTTGATCTAAATGTGACGGTATTGTGTGGGTGTGAGCGTTGATCCGCTTGATGGTTCTTTGCACTCATTATTCTCGACACTAGTATACTCATTATTGAGTTATCCTCGGCAGGACGAACGTGATGCGGATGGTGCAGCGATGCACTGGTACGACGCAGACGGTCTGGCACCTAGGACTGGAACTGGGGAACCAACGGGTAGACATGGCTAGTGGCGGCAGCGGCGGCGGCGGCGGCGGCCGGACGGGGCTCCCGGGAGCGTGCGCTCTGCGCAAATGCGCCATCGCCATGTGCCCGACATTTATCCTGCATTCACACACCGAATCCTTTACTTTAAATAATAAAATATTAGTAGTTTAAAATATCTAACCTCAAAATTTTGACATTTGATATTTTTAACCTCAAAAATATTATCGGTTAGCACAGGAGATAAAAAATACATCCCGAATCGATTTTGTAAGCAAACAAAACGAATGTATTTACTCGTATGTTTGCTCGCGTTTTGCATGATGTTATCGTGTGTAGGCGTAAATATGCATCCTTTCAATTTGCGCGTATTTCACACGAGGCGTGCGGATTCAATCACGCTTTTCTTCAAATTTCACTCGGCGGCGGCGGCGCTAAGCCGACATCATTCGTTCACTTCACACTCTGCATCTCAACATTTACGAATGTATTTTAAAAACGCGAAAATCACAGAAAATAAAATTCGTGTATTTTGGGAAGCCTGCGAATACCCAAGACACTTTAAAAACTCATGGGAATATAAGTACATAAAAGTCTTCGTAAAGTTAATGTTTGTGACTCATTTATGAGGCTTGAATAAAATACTCGGTTTAATAATTCGAATAATTTACAACTGAGATGTCAAATTCCGGATTTAGTAGATATCTCGAATGTCCAGAATCTTTTCGTAGAATGCGGATCGTGCCGGATGGCAAATTCCTCGCGTTTTTTGCTCTTTAGCACTTCGATCACTTTCGTTTCTTCTCTTTATGCTTGGATGTCGTTCACATCTTTGTGTCGCTCGCTGATTGTCACGTTCGATGTGCGCGTAGGGAGCTAGGAATGTGCGCGGTATTCTGCACTTAGAATCTTTTGCATTGTGGAATCTTTCGACCACTTCAAAATCGTCGAGTAAATTGCACTTTCGAGTGTATTTCGAGATTTGCACTTGGAGAAATAAATGTTTTTATTGATTTTATGTGTTTAAGTGTTGAAGTGAATTAAATGTGACGTTGTGAATTATTGCGGAAATAATTTAATGATTAAATTAAAGAGTTCAAAGGCAACACGTGTCAAATTATGTTAAATAGCAATTAATTTAAGTTTAATCAATAAATGCAATTTATTTAGGACTTAATTTGCAGATAATTGGTAATTATTTATTCCTTTTTAACATTTTCTATGTTTTATCACTTTAAATTTATTAAAATTGTGAAATTTTATTGATTTTACAAACAAACAACTTTAATAACACTTTTAAAGCTTCAAAAAAACTTTTAAAAAATTCTGGCTTTCTTACAAAGTCAAAAATTATACCTAAAAATCAAAAAATGTCAAAAAAGCGGAAAAAATTGAGTTTTATCAAAAATTTCTTTGTTTATATACCCAGTATCTCGTCACATCGAGTTAATTTAGTTTTCTTCAAATATTTTTCTAACTAAAAATCACCTAATAAAACCAAAATTAATAATATTAAATAAATTGATATTTAACACTAATAAATATTTTTCTATTCGAAAAATATCAAATGAATATGATGAAATAAAATAAAACTAAAATGAAGATATATCTTTTCGCATTTTTTGTGTAGACTTTTCGTGGCTTTAACGCTTGGCCTCTTCCTGAAGCGGAAACCGTGAGAAACTGCGGGGGAAACGCCACAAATTCAATTTTCCAAGCGGCGAATTAATTCGAATAAAATCGAATCGAAGCGACCACCATGCTCATGCTTCCTGTCTTCTCATATTAGGTTTTTTCTCTCTCCCAGGACTTTTCCACGTTTCATATTTTTCAATTTGCGAATTATTTAATAAATATTTATTAACCACATAAAAAACTTATTTGACACACCCTGCAATCTGGAATCTTTCAATATTTTTCATATTCTTATTGCTTATTGCTAATTTTTATAGTATTTGTTTATAAATTTAAGTATTTCACAATATTGTTTGTAATTTAATGATAGTTATAGAATTATGCAATGGAATATGATCGACTATATATGATCCGTTCAGCATTATCTGCTTGTTCATCTTTGGTTACCGCCACGGCGGCCATTTTATCACATTTGTTTGCATTTGCGTTGGATTTTGAGTTTTACGTCGTATTTGGCGTTAAGTTTGGATTATCCATTTCAATTTCCACTACTGAATCCAATTCGCTCTGCAAAACAACAATAAATATGAGGAAAACATCTCATAATAGTTTTAATATAGATTTTTCAATAAACACGAATGATAGGCAACCAAATATACAATGCATTCTATAATATTACTAAGAAAAGAAGGTTAATAGCACAGTTTTTACTACTTTCTGCACTTGATGCACAATGTATACCATTTTGTTTACGTAGTTTGGTCCAATGTTTGTTTTTCGACTTTCAAGATGCGAAATGATCCAGTGTATCTAGGTTGGTACTAAGGTGCGCGTGAGTGTAAACACAAATAAATTAGTTAATGCCGAAGTGAGTTTGAAACGCTCTAAAATAGCATCGCGCCACATCGGCACATCGCACATTCCCGCTTGGGTTTAACCTAATTAACTACCCACACAACGCATGAAATGTGCGCCCAAAGCGCGCAAAAAAATTCCACGAGTAATTGCATTTCGGTGTTTATTTCATGTAATTAACGATATTTTTGGCAGGTTTGAAAAACATCAAAACCCAATTATAAACAAAAATGAACTTCAAACCGCAGTAAATGGACGAGAAATGTTTATTTTCAGGTTAAAACACTTTTAAGTTTTCTTTTTTATGTTTTAAGGGTTTCTAACTTTTTTAGTTAAAAACACATAAAAATTTAGTTTTAAGCTCGAAGGTGAAGTAAATAACAAACAAAGCTGACAGTAATTAATTTTTGGTTATATAGACATTAGAATAGGTTATATTTACCTTGGATGACGCAGCCGCAGCAGCAAGTAAAGCTTTTCTTTGATTGGCGGACGCATTCAATATCCACAGGATGTATACGAACATAATCAGTGCAGGAGCGAATAAAGCAGCATACTGTGGGGTGCCTCGCACCACTGCTTGATACAATCCCAATAATGACAAGAAAATGGCGGTTCCTACCGCAATATATCTTCCAGTTCTTTGGTTTTCTTCCTAAAACAGCAAAAAATAGAAAATTCAAACTGACAAATTGTTCTTCTGGTTGCCTACGTACTCTTAATGAACTTATACTAGTATCCTCACACTCCTTCACTAGATTTTCTTTTTGCAGGTCAATTTCCACCATTTTATTAAACTTTTCAAACCCTTTTTTATTGTCTGTTTATAAATGTATCAAACTAGGCACTTTATTAACTAAATATGCTAAAACTTCAAGTTTTAATAAAACTTTTCTTGCTTAATGAGTTTTTTGAGAGAACATCTAACTGCACATGAACTTAAAGCTTAACTGATGCTTGAATGCGCCGAGATGAAGTCGTAAACTCACAAAATCAGCAAAAGCTGCAAAGGTATACAACGTACACCGTGCGCACGTCGGTAGCACGTCATATTATTAGACTATTTACACGAACTCGAACTCAAAAGGCTCAAAACTACTGCCTAGAGTTTAAAAACTCATGACGCATTCAAATTTTACGAATTATCTGATTCGCTACGTCATATACTATAAACAAACAAAAAAAATGAATGCATTTTTTGTTTTAAAATATTTTTGGTATTTTTCTTGTGAATTTTGACAAATTGAACAATTTTTGGCGCCAAAAATTAAACATAAATCCCGAATTAAACATGTGTTTGGAAAATGTACATATGGGATGCACATTTCGTGAATTAAGCAGCAGTGCATTCTCATTGAACATTATTTCGACCCGAAATCGACGAACAATTGTTTATTTTCTCCGCGCATCTTATTGGAATCTGCTGCGCGCTGTTAAACCTGCAAACGCCGCTGTTTTCTTCGCCATAAACTCGGTCGTAACTTATCCTTCGTGACGGCTTTGACGTTTTGTGTACGTTGGCATAAAATATTTCCATACCGCAACACGCCACCACCAAATTATTCACCGTCTTGTAAATATCCATCGATAAAATTCGATCGGGAGCCAAAATCGCACCTGAGTGTTGATGAAATTTTATAATTTATGAGTTGATTGATTACATTACAATGTTTACGTGTAAAATGTAGATTGCTGGAGTTTCCAGGAATGAGAAATAAGTTCTTTGTTTTATTTTCTTTTTGTTAAACATTTGAAATTTAATATTTTAAAACTATGCTAATATTCCAAATATTTTGCTAACCTTTTAAAAATATAAAAATATTTGAATATTTATTTAATTATTAGAAACGTTCTGTATGTTAAGTTTTAAAATGTAATTCTATACGTTTTAAATGTTAATTCCTACTACTTTCAAATTAGTTTGGCGGGAATATCAGGTAACAACATTTAACCCTCAAACTTCCAACGAGTTCTCATATAAACAACGCAATTATTTTCACCAAAATTATTAAAATGAGCTCCAGAACAACACGCAAACGAAAAATACAAACACCTACAACTGATACCTTGCCAGATAAACCAAATAAAATAGATAAATCTCTGCCTGAGACAATTTATCCTGAAGAAACAAGAGTAAGCAAAGACTTCTTCGACAAATCAAGTTATGACCTTGCCAGAGCACTCCTTGGTAAAATATTGGTTCACAAAGTTGATGGAGAACTTGTGAAGTGTATTATTATTGAAACAGAATTATATCCTGGAGGTGATGACAAAGCTTCTGTTTCCTACAATAATAGGTATGTACTATTTTGTATCTTAATGTAAATTGTAATATATTTTATTAATAAACTCTTTACTTTCAGACGTACACCTGCAAATGAACCAGTATTTGGCCCACCAGGCACCACATGGGTGTATCTAACTTATGGTATGCATCATTGCATCAACATTTCGAGTGCAGATCATGGTGGCGCTGTACTTTTAAGAGCTGGAGAACCACTTGATGGGCTTGATAAATTAATGGAACTCAGAATAAGTGAGTGAATATTATTTTATTACACCTTATGAGTATTGTACCTGGTTGTTTTTAGAAAATATGAAGATGAGCAGAGATCTGAAAATTAAGGATTTGTGCAATGGCCCTGCAAAGTTGTATGCCTGCAAAGCAATGGGCATTGACGAAACGTGGTTATCCTTTGCGAGATAGTAATAAGTGATATGGATTGAAGAATATACGTCAGGGAAAGTGAAAAGGTATTAGTGCGAAACGCGTGATTGATAGAAGTGGTGATGTTGCAGTTAGCCAACTCTGGCGATTTTATTACTACAATCATCCTTGTGTCTAGAGAACCTGAACGCGAACAATAAATTTATTTTATACTACAATATTACTATTACTATATACCATACAATTATAAAATTATAATCTTTGTTACTCATAATGTTACTTTATGTCAATAAATTTATTTTATACTACAATATTACTATACTATATACCATACAATTATAAAATTATAATCTTTGTTACTCTTAATGTTACTTTACGTCAATAAACTATTATGAAGTTTGCTAATTATGTAGTATTTTATAATTTTACTTTTTTATAGCATAATATGAAAGAATATGTGATACAGAATACTTTATCTTAATAAAATTTTGTTCTACGATGTACCGTTTTGATAATAATCAAGATTATAGAAATCGTTTTCGTGCGAAGTCAAATTTTTCTTGAAAAATGCCAATAGGGCCTAAACGGTCAGTGTTAGAGGAAAATTGACTGATTATAATTTATGTAGAATTTAACTAGCTATCTAAATCTGAAATCAAATTTGAGGTAGAATTTTTAATTATTGATGAAAAATGAAAAAGTTTTGCCTTGCTTTTATGACGAAATCTTCAGTTTTAATACTTTTTATGACATAAATTAAAAAATTGAGTTTTGAAATATTTTTTTCTGGATTCTGATAAAACAGAACATTTTAAATCATTTATTTTAGTAAACTTTTTTTATACAATTAGTACTTAAGGCCCTATTGGGCCATAAAGTATACTTCAGTTTTTGGCTTATATCTTCCAAACAAATGGTTCAATCAAAAAAATCTATTAAAATAATTGCTTCATAAAGTTGTTTTCTTTAATATTCAGCTATAAAAAGATAATTTTTTTAGTTAATAAGAATTACTAAATAATTTATTAAATTATGGCGGAGGTGCCTGACAATTTTGAAAGGGTTTCTATTTATATTTAAAAACTAATTATATTATGTAATAGAGAAGATTTTAATTACCTTATTTACACAACTTGCTGTTTATTATCATTAATAGTTTACCCTGTAGATGCATTTATTTAGAACGCGTACTTCCAGCGCAACTTAATTACCGATTATCTCCGAAACTAAGAAAGATACAAGCATACGGAAAACGGCATTGGGTCCAGTATAAAATTCTTTATAAGATAAGAGTTTAAAATTTGTAATTTTATTCTTGTGAAAATCAATTTTCCGACGCGATTTTCTCGGAAAGTAATAAAGTTAGAAAAAAACTTCTTGCACTTTCTTCATGCCATGATAAGGATCTATAAAATGGCAGATTTAGTTTTTCCATTTTCCAAAGTTGATAAAAACCCCCTCGTAAATAGTCAAGAGGTTACACTTGACTATTCTTAGGCCTAAAAATTATTTTTTAAGCTAGAAGAAAATGGAAAACGGCAATCGATAGAGAATTGCAATGCGATGAAAGATATACAGTCAGTTTTCCGATATCACCATTATTTCAAAAAAACTTGGTGAAAATGGAAACCGACCAAATTGAACTACCCCTCCGATTTTCACGAAACTTTCCCACATGATGTAGAATGATGCCAGGACTCCATTAATCTTTGTTTGGTTTTGATAACGTAATTAGTTTCTGAGTTATTGACCATTTTCACTTGTTACATAAGTGTAGATAATTCAAAATTTTAAACTGCTAGATAGTGTAAAATTATTCTCTCTACATGAATCTCAAAACCATTTTCTTTTATCTTTACTCGTTTCCAAGATAATCGCGAAAAACTGGTTTATTCGTTTTCTCCAGCACTTCTTATGGAAAAAATAAAAATTTGAAATTTGAATTTTTTACTTCAGATTATAAGAGATAAGACAATTCTGTACACTTTATTTTAATATAATTTTTTAATACCACCCTTAGTTTACAAGATATGCTCCAAAAACCGTTCAATTACAATTCTTGAAGTTAAGGGCTCAATAGGGCCTTAAATAAGGGTCATAGAAGAAAAGTTTACTAAAATAAATGATTTAAAATGATTCACTTTATCATAATCCATGAAAAAATTGTTCAAAAGTCACAATTTTAATTTATGTCATAAAAAACACAAAACCGTGAAAAGATTTCGTCATAAAAAAGACAAAACTTTTTCATTTTTTTTTATCAAGAATTCAAAATTAAATTTATTTCGACAGGTAATAATTTTGAAAAAGTAGTTCGATCCTGTCTTTCAAGCAAAAATAATTTAAAGAAATAGTTCGACCATGTCTTTCGAACAAAAATAATTGCATGTGGAAGGCAAACTATTTATGTTTTCTAAACTATTTATTTACTAAAATATGCATAATTAAATTCTCTATCACCCTGTATATAGATTTCCTGAAATTTCATCCAAGAAATGCCTAAAAAATGCAATAATCTGTTTTTTTGTTGTGAAAATTTTCGTTTTTTGCATGTGGAAGGCAAACTATTTATGTTTTCTTAACTATTTATTTACTAAAATATACATAATTAAATTCTCTATCACCCTGTATATAGATTTCCTGAAATTTCATCCAAGAAATGCCTGAAAAATGCAATAATCTGTTTTTTTTTGTCGAAATTTTAGGTTTTTGGACGTTTGTGGCTGCGAATTAATTCAACTTTTACAATTATTTTTTACCAAAATGTGTATAATTAAATTCTTTATTATCCTGTAAAATAATCTGTTTAAGAAATGTATTGTACTACTGTTGTGTTAATAAAGATATATTTTAATCGATTGTAACTCGTATTATTTGTGTATCCCTTCCATCGTTTCAGGTACAGGTCAAGAGCACACACTTACATTATTGAGTTTGACATTTATTTTCGTCGAATAACAGGGTCGAACTAATTTTGTAAAATAAATTCAGGCCGAAGGACAGGGCCAAACTTTTTCTTAAAATTATGGCGGAGGCGCCTGACATTTGAATGTAAAAATCTAATGATGCCAACCTTGAGAAAACGTGATTTGAAATACTTTATTTTAATAAAATTTTGTTCGAAGATGTACCGTTTTGATAATAATCAGAATTATAGAAATCGTTTTCGTGCGAAGTCAAATTTTTCTTGAAAAATGCCAATAGGGCCTAAACGGTAAGTGTTAGAGGAAAATTGACCTATTATAATTTGTGTAGAATTTAACAAGCTATCTGAATCTGAAATCAGAATTTAAAAATTCCAATTTTTAATTGTTGATAAAAAAATGAAAAAGTTTTGCCTTTTTTATGACGAAATCTTTTCACGGTTTATTCACGGTTTATGTTTTTTATGACATAAATTAAAAATTGAGTTTTTGAATATTTTTTTCTGGATTATGATAAAACAGAACATTATAAATCATTTATTCTAGTAAACTTTTCTTCTGCAATTAGTACTTAAGGCCCTATTGGGCCATGAAGTATATTTCAGTTTTTGGCTTATATCATCCAAACAAATAGTTTAATTAAAAAATCTATTAAAATAATTGCCTTATAAAATTGTCCTTTTTAATATTCAGCTATAAAAAATCAACTTTTTTAATTAACAAAATTACTAAATAATTAATTAAATTATGGCGGAGGCGCCTGACAATTTTGCAAGGGTTTCTATATATTTTCAAAAACTGATTATATTATGTAATAGAGAAGCTTTTAATTACCTTATTTACCAAACTTGCTATTTATTATCTTTAATAGTGTACCCTGTAGATGCATTTATTTAAAACGTGTACTTCTAGCGCAACTTAATTACCGATTATCTCCGAAACTAAGAAAGATACAAGCATACGGAAAACGGCATTGTGTTCAGTATAAAATTCTTCATAAGATAAGAGTTTAAAATTTGTATTTTTAAGAGAGTGAAAATCAATTTTCCGACGCAATTTTCTCAGAAAGTAATAAAGTTAGAAAAAAATTTTTTCCACTTTCTTCATGCCGTGATAAGGATTTAGAAAATGGCAGATTCAGTTTTTCCATTTTCCAAAGTTGACCAAAACCCCCTCGGAAAAAGTCAAGAGGTTACACTTGACTCTTCTGAGGCCTAAAAATTATTTTTTAAGCTACAAGAAAATGGAAAACGGCAATCGATAGAGAATTGCAATGTGATGAAAGATATCCAGTCAGTTTTCCGATATCATCATTATTTCAAAAATTAGTGGTGAAAATCGAAACCGACCAAATTGAACCACCCCTCCGATTTTTCTGAAACTTTCCAATATGATGTAGAATGAAGCCAGGAATCGAATAATCTTTGTTTGGTTTTGATGACGTAATTAGTTTACGAGTTATTGACCATTTTCACTTATTACATAAGTATTGATAATTGAAATTTTCAAACTGCTAGATGGTTTAAAATTATGTTCTGTATATGAATCTGAAAACCATTTTCTTTTATCTTTAATTGTTTGGAAGATAACTGCGAAAAACTGGTTTATACGGTTTCTCCATCACTTCATATGCAAAAAATAAAAATTGGAAATTTGTATTTTTTATTGCAGATTATTAGAGATAAGATGATTCTGTACATTTTATTTTAATACTTTTTTTTAATTCGACCCTTACTTTTGAAGATATATGACAAAACAGTTACATTACATTTCTCAAAGTAAAGGGTTCAATAGGGCCTTAAGTAAGGGTCGTAGAAGAAAAGTTTACTAAAATAAATGATTCAAAATAATTCACTTTATCATAATCAAAAAGAAAATTCATCAAAATTCACAATTTTAATTTTTGTCATAAAAAACATAAACCGTGAATAAACCGTGAAAAGATTTCATCATAAAAAAGGCAAAACTTTTTCATTTTTTTATCAACAATTAAAAATTCGAATTTTTAAATTTTGATTTTAGATTCAGATAGCTAGTTAAATTGTACATAAATTATAATAGGTCAATTTTCTTCTATCACTGATCGTTTAGGCCCTATTGGCAATTTTCAAGAAAAATTTGACTTCGCACCAAAACGATTTTTATAATCTTGATTATTTTCAAAACGGTACATCTTAGAACAAAATTTTATTAAGATAAAGTATTTCAAATCACGTTTTCTTAAGGTTGGCATCATTAGATTTTTTACATTCAAATGTCAGGCGCCTCCGCCATTTCTTAAAAAATATTTAATCACATTTTACCACAAAATAAAATGTAAATTTTTTATTACATATTATCAAAGAAAACAACCACATTGATCGTCTCCCTATCAAAAAACCAAAAAATATTGATAAAAACACAATTTTCGGCACTGCTTGTGCGTTAGTTACACGAGATTCGCACTCGTGCAAAGGTGGTTGCGGAACGGCAGAAGGGTGTAATCCTGATGCGTAGCGCACTGCTCCCCAAGGATCGCCCGTGTGGGTTCAGCCAGAAGGGGTCACTAAGAGGATTCCGCACCTGAGAGAAGAAGAAGAAGCGGCAAGCCGAGATTTATGTCGCCGGCAAGCTTTATAGCCTCGTTTTGATGCGTCTCGGACATGACCACTCTTAGTCATTATTATCTCCAACAAACACCAGCGACACCACCCCCCAGACAAACGCAAGTAAACATTCCACAAGGCAATAAAACATCAACAATAAAATTTCAAGATTTTTAATTTTCAAACACACAATATAATATTTATATCAATTACAGCAAAGGTTTCATTGTCCTGAGAAGAGAAATGCGTTCGTTTTTTTGGCGCTGTTTGTCCTCGCGTGTTCGGCGTGTATTTATCCACGACGGAGGCATCCATCAACCGCCGAGGCCGTGCCCGTTGCAGGCTAGCACCGAGACCTACCCTCTTCTACCCCACACGAAATGTATGAATCGATGCGCGTCGCCTATCTCTCTATGTACGACATTTCAACTAGAAAAGCGGAAAATGTTACGTGGTAGACACACGAAGTTGTTGCTATTGCATGTAACGTATGCATCTTCTGTTGTCCACGTGTTAATGTGGTTGCCTATAGTTGCACTTAACCAATGTCCATTGCTATGCATTTAACTTCAAAAACAAGAAAAAAAGAAGGAAAAATAAGGGTTGGGTTGAGTGTGCGTGTCTTGCAGGCTCGTAAACTTCTGAAATTAATAATAATAAAGTCATTTCGGCCGTGCCCGGTTTTAGTGATTGCTGCTTCCTCCCGTTCGTGCGATAATCGTAATGTTTTCCACGCAAAGCATTTATTTCATTAGTTTTATCGTTCGATTTGTTTGCAGAAAACAGAAAAAAAAACACAGAATAATTATAATGGAGGACATATATTTTTGTTCATAATTATACTAATACAATATGAGAGATATTTTTTACATTTACATGGATTAATAATTTAATAAGAATTAAAAACGAAAAGGTCAAACAACATGGTCGTGCTTTATCCCAGCCTCTAAACATAAAATATTTTTAGTCAAAAACAGAAATAAATCACATAAAAGCGCTGAGAACTCAACTCAAACAAAACAAATTTATAAATCCTATTAATAACTACAAGTAATTACAATGCAATCAATGGATTTGTTAATTGTATGTGTCAATATTATTCTGTCTGATTGTTAACAACGATTTTCGGTTCTCAAAAGCTATAGAAATATTCAACCAATGCACACAATCGAACAACGCAAATGTTTTCAAAATGTCAATTTAAACTTTCAATTAGTATTAAGTTATTTTATACTTTTATACATTTAGGCAACAAACATTCTCATTTAGTGTTTTAATTTAATTTTAGTTTAATCGATTTTACATCGCATCGTCGTTTAATAGTTTAATTTGTTGTTTTTTTTTTCATGTTACACTTGAAACATTCTGCTACTCTTTCTCATCGAAAAATTCATCAATAATAATTGTTGTTTTCTTTTTCCTTGTGGTTTTAGTTGGTCTTAAATATAATAATGTTACGTAAAACATTTCCTCTGTTTAGCTTAGAATCTTAGCGTATAATTTTAAATATAAATATAATTATATCAACACCGTTGTTGTCATCTTCGTGTAATCATATCACTAGCTAATCATAAATTACGCCTGCGTCTACGCTCACTGAATCAATTTTTCATCCATCGTTATCATTATCAGCTGCATTGCTTATAATGTACTCGCTTATACTTACTCGTAAATATTTGTAAGTATATGTTTCATTTTTGTTTGTTTGATGGTTGTTTTGGTATCCATTCATCAACACCTCTAAATGATAATTGATAACTTTAATTAAAACACATGCTCTTTACTTATATGATATGTCAAATTGTTTCCATGTTTTGTTCAGTAAAAAGTACATTTTCGGCTTGAAATTTCCTCGTTTTTGTGATTTTTCCTTACTCCAAACGTTATGCACCTATACTGATACTTTATATACACGGCTATAATTAGTGTAATTAGAGAGAGAGATAGAGAGAGAAAGAAATAAGTACGCTAACGTTAGAATACGCCATTTTTCTCCGAAAAAAAAATCTGTTTTCAATATATAATAAATACGCCTAAAATGTAATAAAAACAATCTTTTTAAATTTACCTTCACATAATCTAAGCTAAAACTAAAACTATACGTAGCTGAATTTTACTCTTTTATTCACCGTCGGCGTTTATTTAGTTTCTATCGTCTCCTGCCTCTCAAATCAAGAGTTTTACACACGCCGCAAGACGCGATTGTCGGTAGGATGCTGAATATTAGCGCGCGCGCGTGTGCGTCTAGTACGGCTGGTGGCGTACCTTCGGCGACAGTCGAGTGTGCTTCCACTCACCACCGGCAGGTGGCGCTACAGCAGCCAAAGGTGGCGGAGATGCCGCCACTGGCTGTTGCGCTCCCCCTGTAGCAGGCGCACTGACAATACTCAACGCATGCATGATGCATGTCTTCGCCGTCGCCTCCACGTCCATCAGGTCCTCGAGTTCTTTATCAGTACGCGAGTGGCCCGAATCCGGTGTGGCTGTGTCACGGCCATTCTCGATGAAGTCGTGATCGTTGTCGTGTCCGTTTTCTTCCTCACCTTCGAGACTCGCTTCGTTTTTATCCTGTAAACAAAAAATAAAAATTTTAAATTTTGTTTTTTTATAGTCATGAGAAATGTTAAGTGATTACAAATGCAATGGGTTTGTTAGTTTGTGTGTTCGCGATCATCCCTTGTCTTGTCGCTGGGCGGAATTAATGTCCCTGAGGAGCGTAACATTAAGCACACGTTTGTCGCCGGGATCTCGGACTCGATTTGCGGCCCTCGGAAGATGTTCGACAAGACGCCGCTCGCTGGTATTCAATTGGTCTCTTTGTTGAGCGCGCCCCCAATTGATTTCAAAGCGACAAAGCGAAAGAAACCCAGAATGAACTCCTTACACAACTCTTCGTCTTCGAGCTCCGGTTGTTTCATGTTTTCGTACAATTTCGCAGCGCGTTTAGTGCAGGTTTTTTTCGTTAATGTATGTTTTCACGAAGTGGAGTCTTTCGTTTTGGGAGCATTTAAAAGCACACGACTGGTATTTACCCACTGCGAATACAACTTCTTTGATCATCAGGCATCAGGTCCGGCTGCGTCCGGTTTTCTCTCCTTTGACGTTTATCTACGGTGCGCGTCGATGGGAAAAGAAGCACCGCGCTTCGCCCGTCTATTTACAGATTAGTTCCTGATAGGAAAACCCAGATGGATGTTGAACTTATCCGGTGAGTGGCAATTTCCTCTTTTTGTTTTTAAGCGGCGCTATGTAAATACTCGGCGCGCGCGCTTGTTTAGATTCGAGGCTTTTGTCTCCGCAATTGAAAGGACTTCTACTACTTGCTGGCTAAACGAGCCGCCGAGTAGGAATTCTCAATTTATATTCGGTTCGAAAAGCCGCCAGCCGAAATATAAAACCAAACGCGCTTGCAGCTGACAGCGGCATTAGGGGCGAACAATAACATCTCGACGCCGGCATCCCGTTCCATCTTTTACCACCGCCCCCGCCGCCTCCAACCCACCTACCACCGCTTTCGCTGTTTTATCATTCGCATTTGTAATAATATTGCTTCAAGATGTTTATTCAAATTAGCTAAACGCCGTGTTTTCGTTTCTTTCGCATTCCGATCGAAGATCAGCGCCGAATCGAAAAGATAAAGTAACAGCCTCGAGGGGCGGCAAGCGACCGACGACAGAATTCGATTAGTCGTTCGCGAACAACTTAAAAACAACTCGCAGGATGGTTTTACGCAAATAAACGGATTATCTTAAACATAGGTTATGTTTTCATAACGTAACCTCAACCGAGTGTGTTTGACACATGTTGCAAGCAATTTGATGGGAGTTTTCAAGCGGAAGAAGCCATGAAGGACAACAGGATGTCTTCAAGATATGGGAGGGATGGTAATGTCGACATCTGTGTCTTGGATTGTCATTACCACTTGCCACTCGCTTTGTCCAAGCGATACAGAAGCACTGCACACGGTCGCAGTAACGAGTAGCCCCGAGTGAGTTGGCGCAATTTGCGTGCGGCGACCGCACTCCGTCTAATTGCAAGACGTCGTCGTCGTCGTGCCTACTTCGCGTTATCGTTTAATTATCGCGTGCGACATACATCACAAGATTCGCAAACAAGGCACTTCCCCCCGGTCGTGTGCTATAGGTACTACAATAAAAATGTCGCTTGTCGTACAAATTAGAACTAGTGGAAGGGGTGTTAAACAGGACAAAAGTTGTATTTATCTTTTTGGATTAATTTAAGGTGAAAGATAGGATCAAACTGATTCTTAAAATAATAGGAAATGTAAATTTGGTTTATTTTTAGAAGAGATATAAGGTAATTTTGGAGGTTAATTTTTGAAATTTGGGAAAATTAGGCGTTTTTAAAGGGCATTTTAGGGTGGTTCCCAGGGGTTTAGAGAGGGGAAGATGGGGTAAATTGTAAAGGGGTCTTTTAGCTATTATATGACAGAAAGAAATCCTAAATTGTCCTATTCTTACAGGAGATACAGGGTGATTTCTATGACAAATTTTTAAAATTTCTGAAAATTAACAAATTTTAACGACCATTTTAGGCTTCTTCCTAAGAGTCTACTGGATGTAAAAGATACGTAAGTTATAGAGGAGTACTTTAGCTATTATATGACAGTAAGAAACCCTAAATTGTCCTACTCTAAAAAAGATACAGGGTGATTTCTATGACAAATTTTTAAAATTTCAGAAAATTAACAAGTTTTAACGGCCATTTTAGGCTTCTCCCTAAGAGTCTGGTGGATGCAAAAGACGTGCAAGTTATAGAGGAGTACTTTAGCTATTATGTGACAGTAAGAAACCTAAAATTATCTTATTTTTACAAGAGATACAGGGTGATTTTTACTACAAATTATTAGAAATTTTAAAAATTTTGTAATTTTCATAGTCAATTTTAAGGTACATCCAAAGAAGTTTCAGGATGCAGAGGGTGCACACATTATAAAGAAACTCTCCAGCTATTAAATGAATGTAAAAAACCTAAAATTACTTTATACTAAAAGAAGATACAGAGTGTTTTCCAAAACCAAATTTTAGTAAATTGAGAAAAAAATGTCTACAAAAAAATTAAATTACCCTTTCACCCGTAATTACACCCAACTTTTCTAACCCATGTTTAGCACCCATACAAATTGAAGCAAAAAAAAGCGAACATACGCACGCGATAGAAGGATATTTGTCACCTTTTATCGTGCGGGTCACGCCGCGCCTCCGAAAACCACTAACACAAAGTGACAGCGCGTGTTCTTAATCTTTCCACTCCGACAAGACATCAATTCATTTGCGAACAATAATTGGGAGAGACTTTTATCTATTTCCTCTAAAAAAAAAAAAAACATCCCCAACAACCAAGAAGACCCACCAGCTTTTGTTATAGGAAAAGTCATATAATAATGATGCGGCAAAGCGGAATGGAAATATCATCGTAAAACGAGATTATCTCACATCTATTTTAAGACGTGCAAAGATCGCACCCGTACGACGTGCAAACGTCCCCTTTAAACGCGCAATTCTCCAGATATCGACGTTTTACATATTCGAACACCTCATGCACGTGGCGTGATCGAACCCAAGATGGCCGCACAACTACTTCAAATAATGTCATTATAAAAATGTAAAGAAACCAACGTTTTTTTTTCTAGTTACGACGTTGATTGTAAATTATTACAACGCAGCCGACAAACGGCTGGGTAATTAATGTTGATTAACATTCAGCCGCCGCGCCCCCCAACCTTAATTTTTCCAGCACCAATCATCATCATCATCATCCGTCTGGCGGCTGGTGTTGCAGCTCCTGCGGAGCCGACCGTTTAATGATGTTTAATTCTGATAAATTCCCCTTTATTTTTCGGGGGTGGTAAATTTCTATTATTCGCCTCTTCACGCGCTTGTTCCGCACTTGTTCCGCCGCGGCAGCGCAACGTTATTGAATTAATTACCATATTTATATTAATTGCTCGCCGCGCGCACCCAACAATACCGCGATAAGTTATCAGCTTTCGCACATTTCGGGGCGTTTTGTTCGCCTCGATTGTTTGTTAATACAAGCGAGCACGGTGGGAATTAATGAAGCGCAGTGATGGGTGGGGCCGCGATGATTTTTCACCTTTCCGGCTCGAAAAGAGAGACATTACACGTGAGATTACAACACAATCCCGCAATGCAGACATTTCGACATTGATGACCGGACGCGCCCTTCTTTTATGATTATACAACACGCTCATCGCTTCCAATCCATTATTTCACGTCTAATAATAGTCCACCACAACTACATCTACAACCTAACCTCAAAATCATCAAAATCATAAAACTACAACTTTATCTTTCTGAGATATTTTATTACTCCCTGTCTTTATTATTTTGTTTTATCCATTAAAATTTTGCATCTAAATTTACCAACTTCCTAAATTCCGGTCTTGTTTCTGTTGTTGTCCCTTCTGATCTAAACTAACATTCCCAGTCAGTAGTTGTTTCACCGTCCCAACACTATTCTGCAACTGATGCATTCTATCTTCAAATAGACGATCAGTCAGCTTACGCTTCAAACGCGCGCCATTTTGTTGCACCTTCGCCGTCTCCTCCTTGAACATCGTCTTGATATCTTGAAACACATTGTCAATCAGCTGGAAGGAAACATGAGCCACTCCATCGTCAGGTGTAGAATTTTCTTCAGGCTCCGACTGTTGTTCCATATTTTGTTGTACAGCATTCTTGATCAATTCGTCTAGGACCTGAGAAGCTTGGCATTGATTCATATTAGTCATATCTTCATTTGCTGGAGAACAAGCAGAAACCTCAGGAAAAGGTGGGGGAATCTCCGAGAATTGTGACATAGAATAAGTTGGAATCTCCGAAAAAGTAGACATCCCACATGAATCTTCCGGTGGAGGTGGTATAGATTGATCTGTAATGGTTCTTATAGCCGAAGCAGCTAATTCTGACATGTTTTCAGTGGTCAATGAATTGGAATCCTTTGGTGGTATGATAGATTTAATAATATTGCAGACTTCAATGCGTTTTTCGTAATATTCCTGACGAGATTTCCAGAATAACTTAAGTTGCTCATAACGTTCCTTCCAACTGTTCAATCTACTTTCCCTTTCTTCTTTGGACCGTCGTTTTGGACATAGTGCTATACCCTCATCATTACAATACGAAATTGTTTCAAAATTTTGCATTGATAGATTCTTACTCATTGGTTTTGATTTCTTACAATTGTCATCAATATTCTCTGCTGTTACCGGGGCACTAGCACTGCGTATATTAAAAGCTAGTTTCTTCAAAGCCCTTTTTGCTTGTTGAGCCAATAACAAGTCTATTACTGATTTTATACGAGGATCAGGTAGATTTCCGGTGTTTCTGAAGTAATGTATGATACCTTGTTCCAATTTTCGTACTTTCCTCATAAATTTAGAACATTTATCATCAAACACATCAGGAGTAGCATTCTGGTGTCTCATCAGGAAGTGAAAATCGCGTTTTCTAGCATATAGATACGACAAGCAATAGATCATGTGTTCGCTATCAATTGGATCAGTCGTACATGTTGCATAAGTTGAACATATATGATAATTATCCCTCGTGCGACCAGCTCTTTCATCTCGGATAGCTGCGTTGTGTGCTACTCTATCCATGCTTTTGATAACCTGAATCCTCTTGAACCTTAAATTTTGTAATTCTTGCAAAAAGTCAAGATAATCAATGGATGCATTAGATTTAGTCATCATGGGGGCTGATGGTTTAATCAACACATCAGTTTTTGGTATTTTATTGATCTTTCTTTTATTTTTAGTCTTTTCCGGTTTATTATTGTTATTTTTTGTTTCTTCCTCGATAAGAGTATGAGTTGATCTTGTATTAGGAGAATGGATATTCTGTTCTTTTATAATATCCATTTGGGTTTGAAGATCTCTCTTCAACTTCCCAATAGCTCTCAAGAGAATGATATTATTGACAATGTGTAATACCAGATAAAAGTTGATTTTAAACAAGTTGCTTTCCAGTGCCCTGCGGAGTGTGCGTGTGTTCATCGTAGGTAACAAACTTTGCACCTTGCGTTTAACCCTTCCACCCCAATGTCTAACTCCTTTCAAAATGTTTTGTTCAGATGTTTTTAAACATTTAGCTTTTTCATCATCAGTTTTTATATTAGTATCCTTATTATTCCAAGTAGCAATTCTAGAATTTGATGGTATTCCTACCATAGTCTTTTGTGCAGTTTGTGATTGTGTTGATTTATCATCAAAGAGATCACAAACTGGACACTCCAAAGCATCTTTCGCTGTCATCGCTGGACAAAAATTCACTTTATCATCTGTTAATTTATTTTTTGGACCAATTTGAATGCTTTCCATTGCAGGTTTCTCTTTTACCACAACAGAATCTCTTGTTTTGTAATAATCATTAATAGGAAACTCTTTTCCCTTATCAAATTTAGATGAATAATAATTAGAAGACTTCTTATACTCATCATAAACCCTAAACGCGTCATTAGCACCTTTTTCCGCTGCACTTCCATATCTCCCTAATTGAAATGGCGGCGTATATAACCCTCGATTGTATGTCACACTTTTGACAGCTGGTGAAAGTCTAAGCGATTGATTCTGCACGCCATACAACCTCGGCATGAAGAAGCAAGTCAAAGCAATCCCAATAATCGAAACAAACGCTATAAACATAATCAACGCTGTTTTCAACGCGGCATTCGAATGTTGCCTCTGTCGATATTGATGCGCTGCAACCAACAATGCAAGTTGCATTCGCAGTTTGTCATCATTGTTAGCTATCTTCGGCAGGGGTGCCAATCGCATGCGACTCGCCGAGTACGCCTGCTCATCCACATCGGGAAAACAACATGGTTCAATCTGGCGATACTCAAACAATTTCCGATTCTCAATCCTACTCAACTCGTCCGAATACTTCCGCAACGGTTCAAGTTGATCGACTTGCTCATTCTGTGTGTTGTGATGGTGGTCTTCGTCTAGGATACTCCATGACGAACTGCTGCTAAGGTCGGACTCACTCTCGCGTCCGCCTAACGGCTCCGACATGGCGACGTAATGGCGATGTCCGGTTGGAGGAGTTCTGTGCGGTGTTCACGCGCGTCGTTGTTCATCCACTGCGGATTTAGCACTCGAAATTTGCAGACATCGAATTCCGAAACGAGAACCCGTGTGCACGCTCGAGATTGGTTGCGTGACACGAGATGAATCGGACGTCAAATTTTTTGTTTTATTTTATTTAGCCCCCCGCGATCAATTAGTAATAAATCATTTAAACAAAAAAATTAAAAAAAAAAGTTTACCTTATCTGGGGTGCTGTTATCCCGTGGTGAGATAGGCGGTGATCCGCAGTTCTCCATCGACGTGGGAACACCCAGTTCGTAGATGTTTAGCATGTGTGCAGCCTGGGCATGAACCATCAGGTCCCAGGCGTTTTGAAAAGCGTCTTTGCACTGAACGCAGAGCAGAGCCGCCGCTGAATTGTCATCAATTGGTGATTCTGCATCAAAAACAAAAAAAAAAAACAATAAAAAACCAGGCGATTAACCAATTTAAGTAGAGTCAAAGTTGCTGGAGGAGTTATGGCCGGGTTAATATCCTCCAGGATGTAACTCCGGAGACTCCGGGAAATTTACGCACCGGCACAGGTGGTTTTGGCGAAACTTTACCGGCAACTTTTCTCCACTTTCCCACACGGCTAATGTAGGCAACCAAGCATACACCCCACACTATCCCTACTGATATTATAAATGCGAAAGTCCTGATGTTTGTTACACTTTCACGCAAAAACTACTTAACCGATCATCATGAAAATTTGTACACATATTCTTAGTGATCCCCGAATGGTTATAGGCTACTTTTTATTTAATAAAAATAATTATTTTTTAAATAAAATAAAGAAATTGTTTAGCCAATAATACCTCTGCATCTGGCTATTTGACTACTTTAACGCCATCTAGCATTCCAGCAATGAAGCTCAAACCTAAGTACTATAGTACCATCACACTGTATTATCACACTGTATTACCGACAGCTACGTCAACATCAAATCCAATTGATTACACTATGGAGACTGTACACTATACTTCCATAGACTATACTTTCAGCCATTTTAAACTTCCCGCCATTCTACTTCATTGTTACTTCTTCTGTGACTTCAGACGCGTACGGAAGCAACTTCATTATTTTAGATATTCGCGAGCGAAGCCGCTAGTATTATATAAGCCTAAGTATTTTTACTTACTGTTTTTGCCTAGATTATCACATTTGCAGGTGAAACGCAGCTTGCAGTACGCCTTCTTGTGGTCCAGCAGTTCGTGGAGGTCGGTGAACATCTCGCGACAGTTGCCACATATGAGAATATCCGGATTACCTGCAGATGAGTAAATAAAACCACACTCTGTATTAATCAAGCGCGCGTAAATATTTGAGATCTTTTTAACGACAAGTTGTGTAGGTAATTACACAACTTGTGCAATTTCACGCAAAGCCCCGAGAGTTTAAAAAGGGCGCGTGCTAAGAAGCGTTAACGATGACACATGCGGAAATAAATTTAATGCAGACATCAATTTTTGTTTTTGAACGCTCTGCACGCCCGAAATGGTCAGCCATTTGCATTTCACGTCCAGCGGCAATAGCGGAAAAAAGTAACATCGTCCTTAAACCCTTTCAACTAACTGGTAATCCTCGCGCTCGCGTGGAGAACATAATCGCATGAGCTTTATTTCGCAACGAGCGGATTTTTCAAAAGTGCGCTTCCGGCTACTTTTAGGATTTGAGTTTTTTTTTTTTCATGCGTGAACACAATTAATGTACGAGTAGGTGCTAAAATGTTGTAGTACTCACTGTAGATTTTCAGCTGATCGACAGGTGGTATCTCCTTGGTCTTTGCCGGTTGATTGGATTTGTTGGTGCGTGGTGATGTCGCCATTAATCGCTGTCTCTTTAATGGCGGCACCAGTCGTGGAGGGCCCACTGGAAACGCTGTCGACGCATAGTAACTGCAATAAAATATTACTTTTTATAATCACCGCTAGATGGCGTTGCAAATCATAACATAACCTAAATTAACCTTAAAAATATGTTTCAAGAGTTTAATTTTAATCCTTTATAAAACAATTTGTCGTCGTTGACGGAAAATAAAGTTTTTCGTCTGCTTATAATTTGCAAGCGCTGGGAAAGTGCAAATTAAGCAAGCGCGCACCTTGGCGCGCTTTATTAAAGCTTGGAGAGTTCATTTTGCCAGGCCAACTGTTTGTCATGCGCGAAACACATTGAAAAGGGTTGTTAGACGGCAAGTGCCGAAGATCTCACTCTTCTTGTGAAGCTTTTCACGTCGTTCAAGACTTGTACCAAAATTTAGACGCAAAGGATTGGAGTGGGGGGACTTGAAGATTGTGCCCGCCACCCGCGATGCATGTATGTGTGTGTTGGGTGGTCGGAAAACGCGCGCGGAATTTCGGTGCCGGACTTGTAATGGCCCCGGCAATTCCGACCGGATTACAAGCCGGAATTCGACCGCCGTTACCACCGCGCGTTTCCTTCCTTCAACCCTTACACCTAATACAGACACTGAGAGGAGAACAACGGCGGGGGGGCGTGTGCACCCGCGTTCTCATAATTGTCGAGGAACGGATTTAATTGTTTGCATGCAAAGTAAGCATCTGCGGCGCGCCGCCTTTCTTGGATTTCCCCCTAAATTGTGAACATTCAAATTCCTAGGTTAATATTGGCTGCTGCTTCGGGTTGTAATTTGGGTTGCATGAATAGCATCAAAAGATATCCGCCGCAGCAGCAGCACCAAATGCAAAAATAGATGAAAGTGACGACTAATTATGGTGGCGGCTACCTGTTAATAGTTTTATGCATGTCAGAGGATCAAAGTGCGCTGGGCGCGTGAATCATGCGGCCGATGGGTCGTAAATTAGTGCGGGCAGGTTGTGTCTGAGTGCAGCGCATCGATTTTCCAATAAAAATTTCCGAGCCGCACGGGGAGTTTTATAGGCGCGCCGCAATTCGGCCGCCTTTGGCACGCCGCCGCCGCCGGCCGTTGAGTTATGTGCGACGTATTGGCTTCGGCATTTAATTACCATCAAAAAGATCCGCAACCGAAATGAACGAGCGGACGTGCCGATGTGCAATTAAAAGAATAAAAAAAATACCAGCGTTGCTCGTAATTTTCCACCGGGCGGGATCTAATTTTACGGTTATTAAATTCGTGTCAACATCGCGCGCACACACAAAGAAAAAAACTATCGCATCATGCGAGGAGCATCATCGTCATCAAAAACCAACAAAACGCACAAGAATCTTTCCACTTTTCATTCTCCAGCACAACCACTTTGCCGCCAGCGCGGGTTTATTCCGAAGCTGCGTGTTTACGTTCGGGAGTTTTTAATGTGCGCGTCCTTTAACAAAAGAGGCGACGCGCATGCGATATTCATAAAAGAATGTCATTAAACTGGGAATTATATTTCACCTCCCCGACATCACATAAAGACTAGTAAATAACACCGGAGTTCATTGTTATCGAAATATGAGAACACATGTGAAAAAACTTTTTTTTTTGAATTTTTTTTATTTCGATTAATTTGTGCTGCACTTGAATAAAATCCATACCTCGAATGCAAATTCATTGTGTTGGCCCCGATATGAATTACCGACGAGCTATAAATATCCTTTTAAGTGCAGTAATTTGCATAATACCGCAATGCTACAAAGTCGCCGGTTTGGAAAAATACACGCTATGCAACCAACTATACACCGCTCAGTACTTGGCTGCCTACCAAACAATAAACTTTCCACTCTATGTAAACCGATCGGCGGAAAGTGAATGAATGAAGAAGAAATTCTTGAATTTCTTGAACTTTGCACGCGGACAATCCAATCCAATATGTTCGCAGAACACAGTTTGAAGTAAATTAAAGACCCGCTTTTGATCCGTTTATCATTATTATCCGCGCCGAATTAATTTCCAAATGGGCGTATTTATTAATCCGAAAGTTGGGATAATTTATGCGCGCCGTTCGAGTTTCACGCGTGTTCAACTTTTTGCCCGAAAACTTTACAAGCGTTCGTCGTGACGTGTAAATTGCGAAATATATTCCGGAAGCTCTTTTGATGTGATGTTTATCTCTAGCGCTGAAAATAAGAATTAATTTTTGAAGACTTTAAGACATCGTGTTTTTGTGCCACTTAAAAATTTCCGCCTTGTTGACATTTTTTGCATCCATCGACGAAAGTTTGATGTTGACTATTCCGGTGTTCGGTGGGTTGATGCACTTTGCGCGTGTGTATCTTTTTCCACTTTTTCCGCTCCGGCAAACTTGAAAACTTGCGAATTTTCAACTGTTTTCCAAACTTTGCGCGCGCAAAAATAAAAATCCCCAGCATCTCAAACACGAGCCGCAAAAAGTGGAGGGAAAATATCCACGAAGATGGTTTAATATTTGTATTGAAAATTGATATACGAGGTCGGAAAGTTTCGGCGCGGCGTGAATACGTTAACCGAGTTTTATCTCGTTCCATCCGGAAGCGGGAGCCGGAAAAAAGATTTTCTCGCACTCGCCGAACAAGTTACAAGTTGCAAGCGTTCGCTTTCGTGACTTTCAAGACTTTCTTTTTTTTTTCTTCTCTTTTTATTCGTATTCCTCCATTTTGCATCCAGCGCCGGAAGTAAACGGGCGTTACGTGCGCTCTCGGCGCGCTAATAAATTTTTTAACTTGTTGTAAAATTTGAATTTCTAATTGCGCTCGCGCTCGATTTTTCCCCGATAGAAATACGTTTTACATTACTGGGGTAAATTTGGAGTGGGGGGTGCATATGCAGACGATAACGATCGAAGAGTGCAGACGAAAATTTCGCTCTGGAATGGAGGCAAAGTTCACGTAAGTTTCATATTTAAGCGCCAAAGTCGGTGAGCTCATATTTTGTCTGCAAGGCGGAAGTCGGATCCTTACCCCCACCCCACTTTGCCTGGGAAAGTTTCACAATCGCGAATGCATGCGCGTTTGCCCATTTGTCGACAATCCGCAGATGATAAATTTCGCCGCGTGCAGTTTCCCCATCGAGGGATGGAAACCGCCTGCTTAATTATCCCTTTAGAGTTCTCGACTTCCGAGAGACTTCCAAGTTGGTCCGGCAGACGGGGAATTAAGTCGATGAGTGTCCTTTTCGGCATTTAGGAGATGCTATCGCCGGAAGATGATAACATCTACACTCACCCAATTCAATTAATTGAATTAAAAAGGCGCAAAACCTCACAAAACGCAAAAAAAAAACTAAAAACTTTCTCAACTATAACACGCGGACATTTTGAGGTTAAGTTAACTTCGTCTACTGCCCACCAGAGAGCCGTACTGCGGCGAAACTTACTAATTGTAAAATAAAGTCTCTTAAAACGTCCCCGAAACATTAAAAACACGCCGCCGACACAAACAACGCACAATAAAATGTTTTTTACTCCGAGTCACCGCCATCACGTGCAACCACGTGGAAAATACTATTCAAGATATTCCCAGAAGATGAAGATTAGGCAACACAAAAGTCTCCCGAGTGACTTCCACTGTAATACCGCGCGACTCGCGTCGCTTTTATTTAGTTTTTGTCGCAACTTCCGGTTTCAAAAAGTGCCATGAATTAATTATGTCGCGCCCTCGTAATAATGACACACGTGAGAGCATGAGTGTGTGTGTGTGTGCATAATGGATGCGCGGGGACTAATTAGAAGTTTTGTGTCGACTTTTCGTCAACGCCGTCAGACAGACACGGAAACTCGCTAATGCGACACGGCACGTATGCTGCAACCCAAAGCACACATCACCCCACATACTGCAGTTATATACTCGTATGTGTAAAAGTGTAGAGGGTTGCGTAGTAGTGGCGCAGGACAGGTATGAATATAATATATACAAATGTGGTGGGTGTATGAATTCCGGACGAGAGTTGAAAGTTGAAACGGCGAATCGCTTCTGAAAAGAACTTGCAAATGATATGGTTGTTAGAGACTCGGAACAACCGGAGCCATCTGCGTATAATAGATAAAATAAAATAAAAACCGGAAAACCGGAAATTTGACTAAAAATAACAGAAAATCTTTGATTATTAAAGAAATGTTAAAATTTCAAAACCGGAAAACAGGAAATCAAAACCGGAAAACTTAAATTTTTAATGAAAATACTAAAATAGAGATTAAAATCGATTGTTGAAAAGTAGAACAAACTATAAATAGCATTTCCTGGTGATTCCGGTGTGACATTTTAGCAATTGCCGCACAGAACAGAACAGCATCCGAAATCATCCCACAGATATCCACCACCCCCCACTCTCACCCTACCAACCTGAGCGTTTACGGCGATTTATATTTATTTAGGATTCGCACGTGCACGGATCTAGATCAATATCTCTTCCGGCTTCCGCGAAGTCGCTCTCTCACACACACACCGACGCGCGCGTTTATTGACAGTTCTTTATGTCTCGCACCCCGGGACGGCAGGTGCGAATATAAAGCGGGCGAAACGATTTAACCGCAGTCGAGATTTATCTACACGTCGACAACTTTACAAGCGCGACACTCTATAAAATCATTTTCGGATAAATTTAAAGTTGAGGTTAGGTTATGACAACGACATAGATAATTATTATGCAATTGTAAAGGCTTAGCACCAGACGCAATTAATATTTATAGGGGTAGATACCCGGATTACGCGGATTAGACCCCGATCGAATCTAATTCGTTGGTGCATATTTTATTCTATTAATTTTTGGTTGTGTTAAATACGGTCCTGACCACAAGGTGTTGAAAACGCTGCTTGCGGCCGTCCGCAAGTTTATCTACATGATAGGCGTGTGTTTGGTCGCCTGAAGGGCATACGATAAAGCCGGCGAGAATATTTACTCTACTTACGGACTGTAATTAAGCGCACCTATATTTGTACGCTTGATTAGATCTCAGCCATTGCTGGCCATTTGCATTCGCCGCGCGCGGCGCATTGTTTGTTTTCGACTAATAAGGTGCCGTTTTGTGGGGGGCGGCACACGTGGCGGCACGTACCCGCCGGCGAACTCTTGAACTTTATTTGTACAACTAATTAGATTTTCTTATGCTCACACTGGCTGGACGCTGGAGTCACCTGGTGAGAGTGTGGAATATACATCAATGGTATGCAACCAAATATACACGAAATGCATATGTGTTATACCTATAGGAAAAGTAGAGTCACGCGGTGAGCGTCGAGTATGTATATGTCTATGGTATGCAACCGAATATACACGAAATGCATGTGTTGCATCTATGGCAAAAGTAGAGTCAGTTGGTGAGTGTGTATGTATCTCTCACTGTATGCAACCGAATATACACAAATTGTATATGTGTTGCACCTATAGTAAAAGTTGGTGAGCGTATACGAGTATGTATCTGTCACTGTATGCAACCAAATATACACGAATTGCACATGTGTTATACCTATAGCAAAAGTTGTGAGCGTATACAAGTATGTATCTCTCACTGTATGCAACCGAATATACACAATTTGTATATGTGTTGCACCTATGGCAAAAACAACGTAGTAAAAGTTGCCTACATAGTTATGCTTCATCGTTAGTGAAAACTTTAAACGAACACGGCACTTTTCCGAGACGAGACAAATATGAATATTAATTAGCGAGCGCGCAACGATGAATATAATATGTAATAATGTGCGCCGGCGTGGATAATAGATTTGCATGCGAAATGCAGGGAAAATCTTGCCGGCGCGCAGCGTGTAATCAAGTTCGCTGGCGTCGCACGGGGCGGCGACACAACCGCGCGCGAGGCCAAACTAATTTGCGTTACTTTCGTTCGTTAGTCGCTTTTTTCACTCGCCGCGTTTTAATCCAACGACCGCATCTCTCGTAAAGCATGATAAATCAGACTGCAGCGAATTTCGCTGCATTAATTAGCGCCGCCCGAGTGCCATCGGCATAAACATAACCTATAACCTAACCTATTTTATTTTTAAATAAGTAATTGTGTTTTCTTTCGCGCAGCTGTTTGTGTTTGTGGATTGTTTTTGATTAAAGTCAGTAATGCGATACACATTGCATCGATTGCAAGCAGGCAGTGGCGGCGACGACACGTGTGCCGCCCCCGGCGAGTTAAAAACGACGCCGGAACGAGGAGAAAACGAAATAAACGACGAGTCGCGAGTAACACGAGCTCTTATTACCTCGGATATTGATCACTGATAAACATCGCCGTCAATAATATACTGTAATTTATTTTCCTGACAGTATAGGCAACCAATTATACGCATAACACGATGTTTTTTATTTTTTTGTCTTTGTAGCATTTTATTGTTTTCACCAATCGATGGCGATGTACGAATTCACGACACAATACTTTTAATGCAAATTGCATTACGTCTGACGACTTTCATCCTCTCCCTTTCCCTCTTTGTCCTAGGGGACTTTTACAATGTCACGTCGTGTGACGTCCTTTTGTGTGTATCTCCTCTCTTGGCGGCTGGCGAGAGTGTAACACTTTTAGCTTCGCCATTAAATCTTCTGAGCGATTGCTCACGCATAATTGCGATCGCGCGCGACGAGCGAATACGAATTGCGCGACGCGACAACACTCTGGGTGAAATTGCGCGCGAAAGAATTATCCTGAACGGCGAGGAGACATCAAGCTCCTTGTGCTTCCGGCGGCGGCGACAAGCGTTCGCCTGATGTGAAACGTTTTGTCTCTGAGCGCATGTTTTACAACACAAAACATGTAAAATTTTTATCTTTTTTTTTATAATAAAATTTATTATTTATTAATTTTCTTTGTTTTTGTGTGCGTAAACAGAATGGAAATGTATCCATGCGTGCGATTTCGATTTGTTCATATATACGAGTACATCATACAATCGCGAAAATTATCGCCCCAAAATTCATATCATAATGACAACAATGTGCACGCATTTCGATCGTCATAATTGCATTAGACGCAATTGTGCGCGAAGCGGTATTGTGCATTAATTCCGCGTGCGTGGATCGCGTCAACTGGTTGCAAAAATGCTCAAACGGGGTTTATGCAGTAATTAGAGGCCGAAAAATATCGCTCGTGGACATTCCACGCTTTATTACGTATGGCGTAATTAATGCAAGCGATTAAATTAACGTAGATGCATTATGCAAACCGTAAACTAACCGAAAATAAACAAAACAAATAAATATTAATATTAACAGAGGAAATACTACGTTTTATTCACTTTTACTCGCGTTGATAATTATAATATTCAATTTTTTCGACTTCTACTTCAAATTGTAAGTAAATCGTTAATTCTAAGTGTGTTTACATGAAAATATTATGTGTAACTCACCCGTGGTACAATTGGACAACGATTTTCGCAGTTTCCCGCAGGTTTTCACACGATTTCACTAAATATTTCGTTAATTTAAGTTACCGCGATGTAAATACATCCGCGCGACACGACCGAACCGTTTGCACTGCAACAGAGTTGTTTTGCTGGATAGTGTTGCCTTCTTATCTCTTAGTGAACAGATAAACTCGTATTCTTTCTAGATTGTGCGTGCAAAACATTCACAATTGCCTTGAGATAAATAAATGTGATTCGTACGAATACTACACAAGTGATTTTATATCAAAACAAACAAAATATAGAAAGAATCAATGTTTGTGTACATGTTAAATTTAATGTAACATAAATATTAACATTTTAACTATTTTTAACGAAATTTTAACGTTATATAGATTTTATTTACTAAAACTATATTAAACATTGCCACCTCGGCTGATAACAAAATACCTGACGCATTACTACAATTGTAATAAGCTGGATTGAGTAAAAAACCTAAAAAGTAGTGAATTAAACAAATATGCTAATTTTCACATATTTCTGATGATATTTTTGCAACAAAAACTACCCTATGTTATTTTCCTATATCCTAACTATCTCCAAATCAAAATTTATCAAAATTGATTCAGTACTTTTTTCATTACTGCGTTACAAACATACAAAAACTATAAACTCGCATTTTATATTTGTTTTATTTAAGATTTTATGCAGATTTTCATCTCTCAATGTATTATTTTTATGAGCATGTCTTTTGTTGCAGGCAAAGTCATCATCAAGTCGCATTTCACGGATGATCCTCGACAACAAAACGTATACGCTCACAACGTATAAACTAGCGTCATTAATTACGCGCGAGAGCGCTAAACGCGCGCCCGGCAAGTGTTTATGATGGAAGTATTAAAAACGTTCTCCTTTTGCGCGCCCGGCTCGTAAAATTCATAAGTCCTTGGAATGCACCTTCCGCCCAAAACCGACATGCAACATAACCTAAACCAACATCTAGTACGAGTACACTAAATGCAAACTGCGCATTTTATTGCGCGCTTCTTTTGTCCACGAGAGCGCATATTTCATATTTATTTAGCGCGGTTGTAAATTAAAACTCAAGTTGCTTGCACTCATACTCATATACAACGAGTGAACGAGTAAACTTTAACTATAAATATTAATAAAAATACATTAAACGTGATTGTTTATATTGTATTTTATTAAAGTTTTTTTTTATTATTCGTGAATGTGTGAATATTTTGAGCGTATCTTTCAACGTGTCTCGGCAAGTTAACAATAAAAGTGTAAAGGGGCAAAGCGGAAGCGTAGGAATCGCGTAAATGGCATTCCGGTGTCGTCGCTACGTCTCCAGTCGATTCTACACTGACAATCAATACCGCAATACGAGTACACCACCTCTTACATAAAACTAATCCTAGTTTATTTAAAAAATAAATTTTAACATTAAAAATCACTATAGGCAACTTTCCAAGCACATTTTCTGTGTATTTTTAAATATTTCCCTTTTGATGTTATGTGAATGTACAGTATGCAACCCATTTGACATATCAGCGCATCGGAAGCGTTCGACGTCAACCACCTACTTGTAATACAATCCCGCGCTGGGAATTCCACCGGAGTAAAAAATTGTTGCGCGCGCTCGAGCAATGCGGAATAATGTAACGAGCAAGTGGCAAGTGGCGGCAGCCACTAAGTGACCGAATGTGCAGGATACGTGAAGACGATACTCCACTCGACGCCACCCCCGAAGTAATGGCGTCTTGTGTATTGGATAACACACCGCCGCCATTATAAATCATTTTTAATGAATCCGACACCGCTGTGTCAACTGTGACGAGCGCAAATAAATTCACCGAAAATAATTGACACACTGTATATCTATATCTATATGTATATTGTATGAGTATATGTAAAATTGAGGTTATGTTGTAGAGGGCGCTCACACCACAATTACGTAAAATCAATTTCGACACAGCGTATGTGTGTGTGTGTCGACCGCAAACGCAAATCGGGCGACACATCTCGCCGCGATATGTGTCAATAGATGAAGTGGAGGCGGGGGCGGCGTTATGCGGATGATCAGGAATCGAGGGGCGGAACGAGACGTGCCGGAGAGGACGCAGGGTGTGAGCAACAGGTATCCAGCTGGCGTCAAACCGCTACCGCCAACGACGCCGCCGCCGCCAAACCATCACCGGTTAGTATGCAACACGTCAACCCATCATCTTCCCTTCGACCCTTGTTTCTCACAATCGGACCCAGGCTTAGACATCATGAATAAATTTCCCGAAATAAAGATAAATATAGTGTAGCGTTGACTTTAACGGCAATATCTCTATATAACAACGAAATTTGTAGAAGTTTGTTGGTTTATATTAATTTCCTCGTTATAGCGTTACAGTTTTTCTGTGTAACGACGAAAAATATTTTTATTTCTAGTAATTATAAGGTAGAATATTTTTTAAAGACATGACATCGATGGTAACATTTGAAATATTGTTGTAATTATGATCCCAACATCCCAACAAATTGCAATGCAAATTTCTATAACTTAAGCACGATTTTTCATCTAATTTGTTGGGGTGCACGTTGCGTTACTAGAAAATCATTTAAACATATCACAAGTGAATACAACTGAGCGACGCGGAATTCATATTTAGACTTCAGGAAATATTTACCGGCATTTTTCAAGAGTAATTGAGTTTATAACCAGCATACAAAAAATTAAACAGATGCCAGACCGCGTAAAATCGCAATATTTGGTTATTTTTATGTTCCTCAATGTAACATAACCTAGAAATAATGTAGTTTATAATTTTAGTGGTTGAAAAGTTGCATAACTTGCTCAAAAATACATAAAATCTAAGTTTTTAATGAAATAAAACAAAAATAAGTGAATTTTTACTAAAAAATTAAAAAAAATAAAAAATTTGGTAATTTTTTGTTTCTCGATGTAACGCTACCTCCCTATAACGTAATAAATACCCACTGAAACAATAAATTCAAATAAACAAAGATCATCAACGCGTAAAATCAAACTTCCTGACATTTTTCATATTATTCTATCACACAACATATTTTTTAAATATCATTTGATGAAATATCGAATTGTACTCCTTCACAAAAAAAGCAAAAACTCAGCGATAAATTTCCCGCGGTTGGATGCATCGCCGGTGATGAAGCATGATGACAAATTTCGATGTAAATCAAAATCACATCCCGATTAACCACGCGCATGTATAAATTACACTTTACACACGCATAGCTGTCTTTTACCGACGATTCATCAATTCATCACCCACGATTAAAATCACAATCGTAATCTAAACCATAAACATCATGTGTATCGGTGTATCGCTCACGTCTCGTTTGTTTGTTGTAATCGAATAAAGCCGCACATCCATACACTCCGCGTAGCAACACGGAACGCGCAACAAGTACCTTTATTATAACGTTCACCGCCCCCGAAGATACCCAACATCCCAAAAGAACATCGTTAATAATGTAAATTGGGTTCGAGGACATATTTCATCCTCTTCCACGTACACCTTCACCTTCTTTCCAAATGCAATCGATGATTAATTTGCCTTTTATTGAGTGTTCTTTGTGTTTGTGTTTGAATCTTCAAACAAAAACGTTAATTACGAGTTTACAATCGAATTTTGAAAAATTACAAAGCGTGAATGAACGTTTCGTGTGATCTTTGATTGTTTTTCCAACAAACAAACAAAGCTATCCAATTATTTCAACTTTCAAACAGTGACAAGTTAATTAATTAATCAATTCAAGCATAAAATAATGCAAAGCGCAAAATTTTCTATTCAAATGAATAATTTATACAAAAAAAAAATTCACTTATATTACATACGCATGACGTAATTCACATAACCTTATTCTCGCACCCCTCGTGTACTTTCGCTTTTATTCACACCCGCACGACTGATATTTGATCCCCAATGAAGAAGAAAAAAAAACACCATCACCGAATGGAATTATTTAATCTCGCGGCGGCGGCGGTAGTTTGAGAATTTGAACGTTCGAGAATTCGCACCATAGCAGGTGCTCGTCCATTCGAAGGGTGGTTCAAGTACAACCCCCGCGACGGCTGCTCCTGCGGCCGTTTCCGAGTCAATTTGGCGGTTCATGCAGACGCGCCAAAGGAAATTCAATTAACTTTAATGGTCGATGTCGACCTCCCGACTTGAAGATACTCCTCCGACCAATAACCAGCGTAAAAAATGCACACCCTTCGAGTGTTGGCGGCGAAAATTAAACTCACATATGCGTAAAATTTACATTCATTGTTTTATGGAAACACTCTGTATCTCAATGGCATATTCTTTCGCTCGACGAGTGGATAATATACTCTAACTGCTTTTGAATTAACTCATCTTCCACCCTTGTGGATTTTCAAAACGACTTGCGTGGGAGAAGATAAAATAAAAAAAATTTCTTACTGGAGGCGGTTTTTGAGTTAAAAGTGTAATTTGGTTAAAAATGGCAAAAAAATAAGACGCTACACGAAAAGCATTTTTGTCTGATGTTTAAACAAGGCAACTATTTCTAATTAAATCGCCGTGGTGGAGTAGAACGGGTTGCCTACTACTGCCACACGTAATTGTGTAGAGTATAGAGTGTAGAGTTGGTTGCGTACTTTGCGCTGCGTTAACTATTCATCTGCGTGTGTTATTCGAGCGGAAACAAAAATGTTTTAATAGGACGTGCGCGCATCACGCGCGATTCTCATAATTCGCGTTTCAACTTTAAACAACACGCGCGCTCTCCACTCGCCAACAACAAACTTCTAATTGGAAAATATCTACAAACTGTACGCAGCAAAGTATGATACTTTAAGCGCAACCGGGGAAAAATTCATATTAATCACAATTAAACAAAACTTACGCCCCGAAAAATGTGAGTAGTCAGCGTAATGAGCAGACGCGATGCGCTTTGTCTTTCTTCTCGCGCACAACGATTTAATTGTTGTTTATCTACGCCGAACGCAGCGCGCGATAAAATGCGCTTCCAATTTAATATTTAATTAAGAACTTTAACAACGCGCGGTGATAAAAGCACAATCAAATAGTTCATTCGCCGCGAAGAATTTAATTTCGAA